TATATATATATATATATATACTGGTCAGAGTGAACGTGCATTGCACGTTATTCTAAAATACTTTATAAGTGTCGTAAAGATAATATGACCATTCATTTACCCTTTTAATCTAAATATAAGAGAAATGCAAATCTCTGAAAATAAATGTTAAATTATACGTGCACGTAAATAGTGAAATACATACTTTAATGTGAGTATTAGGGTGTGTTTGATCCACATTATTTTGGAAGAATGTATTCTAGAATAGTAGATTGATGGAAAATTTGTGGTTGTAAAAGAAGGAAAAGTTATTGATATGATGGAAAATATTATTTTATTGAAGAATGCGTGGTAAAAGAATGAGAATGAAAATTTTAATGTGTACCAAATAGGGGCTTAGAATTATAACTAAATGCATAAATTAAGATGAATGACAAATACGATACATGAATTAACTTGAATGCTAATTAAGTTAGAATTAATACCAAGAAATATATATCTCACAATGAATGTTAAATCATTTATATTAAATGAATATAATTTAATTTTCAATTAAGTGAAATGGATATGAATTAGCACACATGGACGTGAATAATAAATTGCATCATTGAATTTGAAATTTTAATTAATATTAAGTAAATGAATGTTAATATTAATTAATTGAGGATTAATAAAAGGGGAATGAACGTGAATGTGAAATTCTAATTAATATTAATTAAATGAATGAAGATGTTAATTAATTGAGAATTAATTATAGTATTTATTACAGTTTGTAAATTAAATACCTATTGAAAAACAAAAAATAAAATATCATTGAAATAATTGAATTGTATTAGGGTTATAATCGTCCAAAAAATGATTCTTACTTGATGTGATATTATATATATATATATATAATAAGTGAAAAAACGATCATTATAAGCACGCCCAAACATGTTTTGAATAAAAAATCACTTCCAAGTTTAATTCACTTATAATCTTACTCAAACATCCTCTTAGCATTTACTCCAACCAAATCGCAGGAAGCTCTGCTCTTTTTTGTAGTGCCTAGCCGCCTGCTGGCTTTCCTCCGATCTTTTTCTTTCAAAATTTTATGTGGCAAAACATCTCTAAGAGATTATTATGGTCATGTATGTGTGTGCTACAATGGATGTCTTCACGCTTTTTAGATTATATTTGGTGGAATTCTCCTAAGAGAAGCTTTAGAGG